TCTGATGTGAAAAGCACAGATTTTTTTTATACCCAGCCAAATTCCATCCAGAACAGACTTGAATAAGTATGAGAATTTCCAATCTGATTGGAATTTGCCCATTTGCACAGAATCTTGTCCATCTGATATTTAGTAAATAGACCCAAATGAAAAACGTTACTGTTTTACCAAATTGTAATATATATCTGCTCTCTCCTGCCTATAAAAAGAATGTTGCTGTTTTAAACCTATCGATACCCTCGCATACATTTATGCAATTGAAGCTCTGTTGCATAATGCAGATAGCTACAGATCATGCGAGGATACAGAGATATCATCTTTCAATAGCCATATATCCAATAGGATCTGGAGAGGCCTGCATATCACATGCCCAATGCAAACAGCTGGGACTCCACCCACAGCAGACACGTTTCAACAGTAGCTGTGCCATTTGCAGAAGGAAGGGGGAGATTGTCACATGGCAGCTGTGGAAAAAGTAATTTTTTGAACAGAGATCATTACCAGCATAAGCTGTAGCGTTTATTGTCTAGCGTACAGTTGCTTATACATGATATTTTCTATTTACTAATACCTCCCAAGTATCCCTATTTAGGAGGGGCAGTCACGATTTTAGGCCCAAATCTCTATTTTCTATCCTAATGTCCCTCTTTTCTAGTAGCTCCATATTGTTGGTGTGTCTGAGTGTATAACAGAGCTCCACAGCAAGATTGCTCACAGTAATGTGTCTTGAAACGACAATAAATGAGTTTAGAAATGAGTCTGTGTAAATCATATACACTATTCTTGTTCTAAACTACATTTTAGTTGTATAAATTGTTATTAGTAAGTCACATAACATTTATTAACCACCTCACCTCCCCACTCACACTCCTAAAATTAAAGTGTCTCTCTTTGTCTATTTGATGTATGCTAAAGGGACACTATAGGCACCTAGACAACTTTGTCTCATTAAAGTGGTCTGGGTGCAGTGTCCGTGTCCCCCTTAGTCCTGCAATGTAAAACATTGCAGTTGAAACTGCAATGTTTACATTGCAGTACTAAGATTGCCTCTAGTGGCTGTCAACCAGACAGCCACTAGAGGCGCTTACAGCATTAGGACATCCGGTCCAGCGACAGACAAAACCCTATAGGAAAACCTCCAGGCAATGCTTTCCTATGGGGAAGGCCTAATGAGCTTGCGTTGCTCACCGCGCATGTGCATTCCCCCCCCATCGGGTGTCATCAGAGGAGGCGGTGCAAGACCCAAAGCCAAGGAAACTTGGCACTGGAATTGGGTAAGTGAATAAAGAGTTATAGGGGGGGAGGCTAAGGAGCTCACTACTGTTAGGAATACATCTTTGTGTTCCTAACTTTCGAAGACATTTAAACATCATAGGTTTAAGACTGAGAGAAGTCCTCCTTATCTTCTGACTGTATACGAAGACAGTATAAAACTAGGTTCATAGATGGATAGTTAATACCAGTTAACTTATCAGTAACATTAGATTGTGAGCTTGTCTGGGCCGGGCCCTCTTCACCTACTGTTCTCAAATGTCCCACGTGTTTTGTTTTTACAAATTAAATGTTTGTCTTGTTTACCTATTGTGCATTGCTGCAGAAGATGTTGCACCACATAAATAAATAAATTACTGTAATTGTATGAAGTAACATCTGAATTGTTAGTGGTACAGTGGCCTTTTGCCTGCATGTTGTAATTACTGTAGTAGAGCTCCCTCTAGTGAAATATTTTAGGACAGCTCTAGTGTACAGCCTGTGTTCGTCATGTGACAAGTCGAAGTTGAGATTGTGTTTGACAAATTTACAGGGTTATTTACTGACGTGTCAATTGACAGGAATTGAAAAAAGTCTGTTATGTTTTCAGTTCTGCAATTTTTGCCTCAAAGTTGGAAATCATGTCATTACACACTTTAGCTAACAACCCTGTTTATCATTCTGTTGTTGGTAAGTACATAACAAAACCTCAATAATTCTCAATAATTCTCAGCCAGCCCCTGTATGAGCATGGTGGTAAAGGAAAAAGTAAGCTGCGTCTATGTATAATCACAAATAAGAAATAATTATAAGTTGGAGTAATAATATGAGAATTATTTACAGAATATTGTATAACCATTGATCTTTTAGGTTCGGTATAATTTTACAAAGTCACAAAACATGTGATAAAGATTTGAGTATGCAACAAAATACAGCATATATTAATGAGGCCAAAAGCTATCAAATGCATTAAAGTTGTATTGGTGGCCAGAGTGTCCCTTTAATCAAAATATGAAATGTCATGCACATCATACCAAAGATGAAAACGCAAGATTTACCACAAATTAATTTATAAAATCTGTGACTCTTTCCCCAAAGGACTACATATAAAACGAGTAGGGGAATTGTTTCCCATTGATAAACCTGTGTCTTTGCACAGACTCTTCTCTTACTGTCCTGAGTGAATGTCTAAGCATTGATAAAGAAAACACATTTTATTTAAAAAAAACAACAACAAAAACTAAAGAATTGATGGTCAAATAGCCTTTTATATAGTTTTACTAAGAAATATGCATTTGCACGATTTATATAGATATTTAGAAAATTAGACATCCCTGTTATAGCATGAGATACCCATAATGGAAGCCAGATGTGGCTGTAGCAAATCTGTATGGCAGATTGTAAATGATCTCGTATTATTTTTTAAAATGCTGAACGTAGAGCATTTAATAATATGCCAATAATTTCCAAAGTGCAGATTAAGCAAGACAAATGTTCTGGACATGTGAGTTGGAATACAAGCGGGATTCTGACGTTAAGGAGAGGTTAGCAGCTTCAATGGAGAATAACCGAGCCATTAGTTTTAAGTTATGGTAGCCGGTAACTTCCTGTTGCTAACTGAATTTTTTGTAGTTGCTAAACAGCTGCTACGATGCACATAATGTCAGGCATTTTAGCAAGTAGCAGCTGGCCAGTAAAAAGTAGACGACAGAGAGGTTTAAATTGGTAGGCTCAAGAAAGGGCTTCTAGGAAAGACATGTGAGGAATGTGTGATAAGTGAACAAGCCATTGTAGAAAGAGATGGGATAAAGTCAGTGTTAGGGCAAGGTCTAAGGGAATTGTGTTGTGAGATGAGGGAAGCAGGGACTTTACATTAACAGGGTTATATCTGAATGAATCCTCTATCCTAACATTTGAAAAGAACTTCGAATAGACGGCTGTTCACATTTTAGTGACCTGGCTTAAGTTGCTTAGTGTGGATTTTTGTGCGAAGACGCACTGAGCATATTATAGTATATAACAGACTTTTGTAGACTGTCATGGTTGCAAACAAAGGGAGCAATGTGAAGTGGTGGGGTAGTATAGCACGGATGCCACAGTAGTTACATAGTCTAGTAGTGAAATTGAAGTAGGCAGGTTTGGTTATGTTGAAGATGAGATACTGGAGCTAGTTGCTAAGTTCCCTCACAACAGTCCTGGTTTCAGGCTCCAGGTTTGCCATCACATAATTGTTCCTTGGTGTCTTACATTGGGGGCATCAAGAAATTACACCCAGAGTGCACCAATAGCGGAGCACTCAGCACAATGGTCTTTAGTATGGCAATCATGTCTGTGACAGTCAAGTGTGCATTAATGACAGGTTCATCCATTCTCTTTTAAAAAGACCCGTCCCCTCTCCAGGCCCAGTGCTGGCAGCTAGTGGGCAGATTGTTCTATATAACCATCCACAGCAAGAGGGTTACATTTTAGTGCATAATCCCATTAATAAAAGCACCAAACCAACTTAAGCTCAACACCTACCATCTGTTCTCCATAGAGTGGGTATTCTGGTATGAATAGTGTTAATTAACTGCCCACAAAAGGATGTCCAAAGTATCAATCAATACATAGGGCTCCCCTTGATCAGCTGGGGCCATGTATAGGGGACCAAGACTGACCAATGAGCTGTATTAAGCACTCAAAGTAAACTGTGCACAGCTCTTTAAATGGAGATTTAAATCCCCATTGACTGCAATGCAGTGTGAAAATCCTACTCACAATAACAAGTCCCAGGTATCAGTCGATACCAGGGGCTCCCCTCTATTAGGCTGCCTGATGAGCTGTAGGCATCGCTCAAAGTGAAACCCTGACAGGTGATTGGTGCTGGGCTTGGCAGTGTATTTAGTGTAGTGAGTACTGTTGTACTCGTGGGACATCGCTGAACACAAATTTGAGAGTTAGAGCAGTGAAACGTATAACGACAAGATAAGTGAAAGTGCAGTTTGTGTGTGGAAAAATGCAAAACAAATTTAAAAAACCCAATAACTTTGTTTAGGGTTTGTGACAGAGTGGCTACTAAAAAAAATACTGAATATACCCATTTTGAATACACTGGGTTGTCTACTTTTGCAAATGGTATACCATGATTTGGGTAATTTTCATTCCTGGGCTATCATACAGTCCCAAAAACAGCATTGGCCCAGCAAACCAATCGGACAAATTTCAATGTAAAAAATTAAATGGACAAGCGCCATATCTGACCCCTGTAACTGCCCCAAAACACCATGAAACCTGTACATATAGTGGGGGGTGGGGGAGAATCCTTGGGACAACACAGCATACAAATGTGTTTTATTGCAATAAAAGCTAACAGTATTATTAACATTAGCAGTTAAAATACCATGCAGAACATGGAAAATAACATTTCTTAATTTCACACTTTTTTTCATAATTTGTATTCCATATATAAATATTTGAGGCGAAATGAGAGCCCTATTTCTCCTGAACAAAAACTAATAATATAATATATATATTAAAGAGGTAAATTATGGTTGAACAGACCTACAGCTCAAATTCTAGGTTTTATTAGGATTCAGTACTTTGACAATTGCCTCCGTCCTTAAAGGGTTACAATTAGTGATGGTTTCCTCTGGTGTCACAAACTATTTTATCAAACACGTCTCATGTAGCACAAAATTATCTAAATGCAAATATATTGCTGTGTTTATACCTTCTATAAAAGAGAAATCACTATATAAAATGAGGAACGCCAGTTAGTAAACACTGCATAATTTATTCAGTTTCAGTGACAGTTTGTAAATGTGAGTAGAAAATACCGGATACTTTAAATTCTTTCTAGATATATGAAAATAGAAAAACTTGTTTTTCTCGCATTAAGTAAATCAACTAGATAAAAGAAGAAAAAAAATGCATAATTACAAAAATAAATTAAACAAAGTTTCTTTTAGGCATATTAGGTGAGAATGTAATATTTGTGCATGAACTAGTCAGTAGGTCAATACACTTAATGCAATAACCTAAATAGATTTCTGTTGTAAACTTACTGGTGTATTATGCAAAAAAAACAAAAAACCTGTCATTGTGAAATTAGCATTTCTAACAAAGAACATAGAACAAGCGTATTGATTTATTGCAAGGTAAAGTGTAAAACAAAATAAGATAAGATTGAATGAAACATACAGGCTTAAATTCACCTTGTGAGTTATGAAAAAGATATTACAATGGATCCCCTAACTGCTGTGCAGTAAAATGTTTACGGTTTAATTACGAGAGAACTGACAGTATTTGAAATGTAAAGAAATGTTTGTCAATGAACTACAGTTAAGATGTGTCACTTATATATGTCATTTTAAAGGGACAATAAAAACCTTATGTCAAGTGAACGATATATTACTTTTAAATGTTTACGCTTACCTTATGAATAAAATAAGGTTAACTTTATATATGTGATATAGACTGCTTATTTACCAAT